TATATATATATATATATGTGTCTGTATACTTGTACTGTACATCTGAGTACATGTGTACGTAAGTACGTACATGCGTATGTATGTAATGTGTATTTGTGTATTGTGTAAGTATTGTATTTAACATATTCCATATAAACTAATGTAATTAATTAGACGTATAATTTTACGATATAGTATAAATATAATTTATACCGATTACAGATTCAACATGTGCATTGCCCGTGCCTCTACTGAGTCTACTCTGCTCCCTGCAGAACAGTGTTCTTGCCTGGTGTATGCTGCAGCAGTCGTCCGAAAAGCGCAAGATTGAGATGTGTCAGAACCTGCTCGTCCGATGGACGGCGGCGGTCACAGAGCACGCCGTCACGATGTTCGACATGCTGCTCGCCGTCGCCGTCGACGACACGCAGGAGGAGAAGGCGCGCCAGCTCGAGCGGACCCTGCTCGGGCAGTGCACACGCCAACTCGTCCTCGGCCTCTTCCTCTTCACGCGGCCCGCCGACGAACTCCCGCTGCGTCTCGTCTCGTCTCTACTCGCGCTCGTCGAGGCACTGCAGCGCCTCAACGCGCGCCTCCCCGCACTCTTCTGGCAGTACGACAGCCCGCAGTGGACGCGCGCGTCCGCCGCCGCCGCCGTCGAGATGCGCGCGTGGAACGTCGAGTCGGCGCACAACTACGACAACGACGCGCACGTGACGCAGCGCTTCACGTGCGCCGGCGCGGCGGCGTTCGCCATCGAGTTCGACGCCGCATGCGAGACCGAGCCGAAGTACGACTACGTCGAGTTCTCGGACGCGCACGGCGTCAAGAAGCGCTTCGACGGGAGAGTTGGCGGCGAGCGCTGGCCCGCGTCGTGCACGTTCGCCGGCGACCAGCTGCACTTCCTCTTCCACTCGGACGGCAGCAACACGGAGTGGGGCTACAAGTTCACGGTGACGGCGCGCGGATACCCTGACATGCCCATCTGCTGGCTGTACGACTTGCAGCTGCAGTGCGCAAAGCTGCTTGGTAGCTACACGGGACTTGTGATACAGGTTGGTGACATCGAATAGCTGGCAGCGATGTTTATATATATATATATATGTTCGAAACTAGATGTTGCGTGATGTTACTCAGTAACGCTACTGTCGAAATTACTCGTTCAAGACTGCGCGGGGCATGTGTGCGTGCGTACGTTAGTGTGTGTGCACACATGCGCGTAAGTGCCCATGCTTTTATGTGAGTGTGCGCACATGCACGCACAGTTTGTGTGTGTGAGCCTGCGTGCATGTGTGCATGCACGTGTGCGTGCGTGCGTGCGTGTATGTGCATTCTTGTATGTGTGTGTCTGCACGGGTGTCTGTGTGTGCGTGCATGTCTGTGTGTGTGCATGCATGTGTGTGTGTAAATGTATCATCTGTAACAATAAGTAAAGGACTCTAAAATAATTTGTATTCTGATTTTGTATCACATTCAGTAGAATAGCATTTTAGATGCAGTCTGGATGCTGATGTGATTAGTATAGATCTATATAAGTAGCTCCACAAGACTGCATATATTCTTAAAGGTCAGACTGATACCACTGGATACTGCATTTCCCACAATTGTAAATATAACAGAAAACAAATATCAACTTTAACTGCTTTCTCTAACAATTATGTGCTATTTGTTAATTATATAAAGTTATTGTATGTATCTGCCATATAATTATCCCCATGTGTTAGTATTATGTGCTATTTTACAGTTCTATATAACATGCTCCTGTGTGACATCATCAATTACTTCCATTTCTAAAATGCCCCTCTGGAATTTTATCAAATGTTATATATTTGTAACACGCTGCTGCGGGACGTTCTTGATTGTTTGCCTTTTAAAAAAATTTGCTTTTTTCATTGCAGGTCATTGCCTCTACAGCGACAGCGTACATTCCAGTAGCTCCACAGCTCCGACAGACTATCCTTGAACACAGCAAGCAGGCCCTCACTCATATCGCCCCACTGTCACTGACACACAGCTCCGCTGAGCGACCTGCCTTCCTCACACCCATCGTTCTCGGTGAAATCAGCCGGTAAGAAACCGATTGAATTAATACTGAATAATCATCGTTGGTTACTTACAGTAGAAAAAGTAGGGTGATGTACATCTGTGTTCATCCATTTTCTTCCTGAATTGTGTTTGGCAGTTATTTAAATTGGTGAGATGTTCCAGGATGGTCTTCCCAATGTGGGAGAACGATTTGTATTTCTGCGAAATTTGTCTGTTCAGTTAGCAGGGAATTACAGTAGCCGTTGTCTGATTGCCCTGCACAAGTTGGGCATGTTCTTGGGCAATTTAATTTTCATTCTCACTTGGCCTGGTTAGAAAAAGTCACTTTATAACCTATCTATCACACTAAAGTGGTACTGTTCTATAACTATTTTGCATTTCGCTCTTAGCGGTGTAATGTTATCTGTCAGTTTATTGCATAAGTAGTGCTCCTTGGTTCACTATTTGTTAGTCACAATGTATATGCCACAAGCCCACAACACATACAAACTGGATTGTCTGTTAAATTGCATTCTATGTTTGTGTCCTCATGCCTGCATCTACTTAATTTCCATCATAATCGTCTTAGTCTTGGGGGGGCAGGTGCTCTAGAGGTCGATGTTTTCTTCACTAGAGCCATTCGTATAGCTGAGTGACAGATTATTAGTGTTTGAAACATTTGTAGTTACTAGTAGCGTTTAAAATGTCTAAAATGATTCTTAACTGAGTTGTTAGCATGTATTAATAAATTATGTTTAATTACTTAATTAAGGTTTAATTACTTAATTTATAATCTCAATAATCACAGTACTTGGAAATCCCAATCAACTAAACAAGTTAATATGCGTGAGCAGCTGAATTGCAGTTTTTCTAGAAGAAAATAACAGACTTGGTTACTACACAATTGATCAAATCAGCTATGTTGTATCCATATATATTACAAGCATTAAATAATCACAAATTTTTTATTATATATTCCTGATATTACTAGATCACACTGACACTCACGTAACAGTGGCTTAATAGACAATCTGCATTTTGAATATACAGTACACAATCTATTATCTGAAACCCTTGGGACCAGACACGTTTCGGAATTCAGAATTTTTCGGATTTCGGAATGGTAGTACAGTACAGATATACATACCGTATATCCTGTAACTAGCCAATACTAAAACCAAAGTTTCGCAAGAGGCCAAGTTCTGTACCGGCACAGTACAATATGTATTAGTAGTGCCAAAATTTCTGCAGTGAACCTTGTGCAACCAAACACGAGCTTTGGTGTGCAGACGACCTCCACGAAAAACTTTTGGTTTTCGGAGCTTTTTCAGTTTTCCGAATTTCGGATACTAGATTTCTAGACATAGAATCTTTAAAAGCTATACAATTTGTATACCAATGAACCTAACTCTATAAATATTATTTTTGTAAAAAATGCATGTATTCTTGTGCTATATTAACAGGTTTCTGGAGTCTCTAGCTCTCGATCCATCAGGAACCTCGGTCATTGATGGTCTGCATGTAATGCTATGGTTCTCCTTGGCGAGGGGTCACTTGGCAAGCATTATATCTACACTACAGTGCATTCTCAAACACCCTGAAATGAAGGTACTACACTAATTTAGAGACAACTACATTTAAAAGATTACTCATGCCTTATGGGCACGTTTTTAGATCTTGTGAAACAAACACTTGCATCAGAGCTAAATAGAAATCTTATGAAGCTTTTTATTTCTGTCTGTTTTATTTATTTATATGATTTATATACTGCTGTATAGGTTACATGTCTTGCATCACTTGTACATTGCTAGAACAGTTGTAGGTTGAGAAATTAGCAATGGTACTATGTAATACCAAGTGTGTTTCGTATGTGTTATAGATGGCCTGCATTCCACTGATCACGTCATTAGATAGCATATACACCAGCACGCTGCAGCGACATGCTGTGGTGCTTCACCCTGCCCTCGCAGGAACAAGCGGCGGCAAGCGGGATATCTTCTCTAGTCCTTCCAACCTGCTAAGTAGCAGTCCAGGAGCTGGATATGTCACTGCAGCAGGTGTCACCAAAGTGAATGTCCATTTTAAGTCGGACGATTACCTAGAGCTGACGAGGCTGAACATCAAGGTAGGCAGAGAGAACGGTCTCATGCTACTTCTCTTTACTCAGTGTATTTGCGTGCTCGCTTCATACTGAGGTTGTTCTAGACGTTAACATTCGTCACAGTTTGAATTGTTGCATTAGTGGTGTGATGAGGCAGTTGTTCTATTACCTATGCATATTTGCTTGCAGGTGCATCGTGGGGCGATTGGTGCTAGATCGGGCTTGGTATTTGTGTATACAGCAGAGGGCAATGATAATGTGTGCAGCAGTAAGTACAGCTGGGACTGCTGTGATAGCTGGACAGAAAAGGATTTTGCAGAATTCAAGGCCAATCAGGGCACCAAAGTGACGCGTAAAGGACCAGTTGCATTCTTCCATTTGGACGATGATTGGGACGAAGTTGAAGTAAGTATCTATTGTGTATATAGCACAGTTTAATTTTGACAATAACTTTATAATAACATATTTCTTACTAATATGTACGTGAATTTACATCTTATTTTATAATATATACATATCCTTAGCTCGCCAAACCCATGTTGACGGACACATTTATAAAACAGACACCTGTCTATAAATGAAACTTGGCATTTCTCTTGAGTTATACAGTGGAACCACCCATAAATAACGGGCAGCTGTCTATAAAAGTCAATTTTGTGGTTTCCCGTAAAGAAGTCGATTTTAGTCAAGAATTTGTAATGCATTACGATTGTATAAACATATACCTACATGTCATATTTCTGTTATCAATTCTAAATATAATTTCTTTTTATAGGTGAAACTTGCTGATGTATCTTCTGGAAAAAATATCATGATCAAGTTCCTGCAGCCACGAGGTCCTGCCAGTATGATAGGAATCATGTCAATACATTTCTTTGGCTATAAGCGAAAGCACGTTACTTTCATTGGTGATATATGCGCAACTGACACTGAGGCAATCACCGATACAGTTGAGAGGAATGGCCCATTGGGTGAGGCAGACTCAGCATATGGCTCTCATCATGTACAGACATCTAGTAGTGAAGTGGTGCTGGAGGAAACAGGTACGAGGCATTCGTCCCTGGCTCACGTTGAAACAGAGGATGACAACACACTGGTGTCCTGCGAGACGTTAGTGGCGCGCATGCTGCAATTTGTCTCGGGTCTCGCTGTGAGACAGGCCGAGTCATTGTCCTCGTCATTGGCTCGACACATGACCCTTGACCTCAGTGACTTTACGATCGATGCATTCTGGCAGCTTTACAGCTTGTTGCTGGAGGCTGGCGATAGCACAGTGTGGGCGTGCTGCCGAGTGCTCTGTCTGCAGCTCTTCCTCGCTCTCCTACCTAACATATCTGAAGCATCCGTGCAAAAGTCGTGCAAGATTAGTACTCTTTTTCAACATCTCTGTGATGTGGTCGATGGAAGAGGGTCGCATTGCCAAGATGAGATCTGCGCGTCCTCCTACTACCAAGACAGCATGAAAGCCATTGCGCAGGAGATAATATCAAGTGGTGCCACCATATTCTATCCAGATGATGAAGCCAGGCGGAAGCAGTTGTTCTCGATGATAGACACCATCTCGGTAGGTGACCTGCTTCATGTCGTGCTTTGTGGCTTCCAAGCGTTTTGCTGCTGTGTGTTTTTCATATTTCAATAATGTTAAATTAAAATACAAGCTGGTATTGTTTTATATTTTTATCTTGTGCTGAGTGTGTGTTATGTTCACATACTATAATATGTTACGTTATCTCATGTGTTTAATATGAACATAGAAAGTAACATACAACAAAACATACAGACAAAGTATAGATATATACCTTCATATTGACTTTATCTTACTCCTGCATAAGTTGGTTTTCGATGTAAATTTCTTTGTGTTGCAGGCAGATAATGTCTCCGAGTCTGCCAGTATGGTATTTCAGTCACTGTGCCAGTTCTTTGGTAATGTCAATCCACAAGCAATTCTGTTTCTTCCTGTCAACCTTCCAGACGACTTTAGCATAGAACCTACTCTTGGCGTTTTATCTAAGCTCCTCACTGTTGCAAAGACAGAGTACATGACATTGTTAACAGAAAGTAAGTATATCATGTTACATGTATTTTCTTTACTGGTAGTAAAGCTGAAGGGGTCGTTGTCATATCAGGTACTACATATATGTACCCGAGGTACATATATGTATACACAAAGGGTACCAGACTTGTACTACAGAAGTGTACCCTAACCCTAACCTTAACCCTAAACATACCTCATATAAAAATATAAACATAATACTAAACAACCTAAAACTACCTCGGGTACATATATGTAGTACCTGATACGACAACGACCCTTCGTGCGGTAGTAAAAGGCTACAGCCAATCTCACCTGATTTACTAAGTAATTTATTCAGAAAGCAGCAGTTTGTATTCTCGTTAAACCTGCGATAATATTTATAATCTCTTTGATATTAACTCTGTGTAAAAAGAATGGTATTGTTACAAACCAATCATTCCCATAATAATCGCATACAAGTATATGGTATCAGGACAAATACCCCCCGGACAATCGGGCCCGGACAATTACCCTCTGGACATTTACCCCCCATGCTATTCACCCCCCGGACAATTAGCGCCCCGGGGACATCACCCCGGACATCACCCTGGACATCACCGCCCCGGACAATCACCCCGGACATCGACCCCCGGACAATTACCCCCTGCGACATTTCCCGGAATTTACCCGCGGCATTTACCCCTGGAATTTAGAGGAGGAGATAGAGGACGACGTGAGAAGGTATGGAGAGGAGGAGTAGGAAGGGCGGAGGAGGTAGAGAGGGCAGTGGGTGGTTGAGGGAGGAGCTAGGATGAGAGGAGGAAGAATGTGATGGAGAGGAGAGGAGGAGGTAGAGGCGCCCTCTCTACCTCCTCCCTCCTCACGCTTCTCTTTCCTTTCCTCTTCTCCTCTCCTCCTCCCCTCCTCATCCACCACCTCCCCACTCCCCTCTCCACCGCTTTCTCTACTCCTCACCTCCTCTCTTCTTTCTCTCCACCACCACACCACCTGCTTTCTCCTCCTCCCACCGGCCCTCGTACATCCTCCGTTTCGCCTTCCCTCCTCCTTTCACCCTCTCTTCTTTCTCTTCCTCACTCCTCTTTCTGCTCTCCCACGATTTTTCCCGCACCTTCCCCTCCTCTTCGCCACTTCTTCCTCTCCTCGCAATCCACCTCCTCGCTGCCTCCTCACTCTTCCCTCTTCCTCCACCTCCTTCCTCCTGCATCACCTTCTCCCTCCTCCCGGCCACCTTTCCCAGATATATATACCTCCACCTCTCTCCTCACTCACCTCCTCTTCTCCTCTCCTCCACATTTTCCCCCGCTGCTTCTCCACTTCTCCCTCCTCACCATCTTTCTCACTGTTCTCCCCTTCCTCCTCTAACGTACACCTTTCTCTCTCTCCTCTCTTCCTCCTCCTCATCTCCTCCTCCTCCTCTCAATTCTCTCTTTCCTCTTCGTCCACTTCTTCCCCTCGCCTCCTGCCACTCCTGATCCCTCCTCCTCCTCACTCCTTTCCTCCTCTTTCTACACCTCCTCCAGCTTCTCCCTCCTCCACCACCTTCTCCCCACCTTCTCCCTCCGCCTCCAAGTTCTTTCCTCCTCCTCGACCTCTCCTGTATACTGGTTCAACAATGAGAATAAAACAACAAGTGGTAAAATGTCTGGGTGATTGTCGGGGGTAAATGTCGGGACTAAATGTACGGGGGTATTGTCGGGGAGTAAAGATGTCCGGGGGGTAATTGTCGGGGGGGGTGTAAATGTCCGGGGCGCGTAATTGTCCAGGGGTAATTGTCGGGGGTAAATGTCGGGGGTAATTCGGGGCGGGGGTAATTGTCCGGGGGGTATTGTTGGGCGTGATTGTCGGGGGTATTGTTCTAGAACCAAGATATATATATTATTATATGTGTCTGTATACTTGTACTGTACATCTGAGTAATGTGTACGTAAGTAACGTACATGCGTATGTATGTAATGTGTTATTTGTGTATTTGTGTAGATTGTATTTAACATATTCCATATAAACTAATGTACTTAATTAGACGTATTAATTTTTACGGATATAGTATAAATATAATTATACCGATTACAGATTCAACATGTGCATTGCCGTGCCTCTACTGAGTCTACTCTGCTCCCGCAGAACAGTGTTCCTGCCTGTGTATGCTGCAGCAGTCGTCCGAAAAGCGCAAGTTTGAGATGTGTCAGAACCTGCTTGTTCGATGGACTGCAGCGGTCACAGGAGCACGCCGTCACGATGTCGACATGCTGCTCGCCGTCGCCGTCGACGACACGCAGGAGGAGAAGGCGCGCCAGCTCGAGCGGACCCTCTGCTCGGCACGGGCTGTTGCACACGCCAGCTCGTCCTCGGCCTCTTCTCTTCACGCGGCCTGCCGACGAACTCCCGCTGCGTCTCGTCTCGTCTCTACTCGGCGTCGTCGAGGACTGCAGCGCCTCAACGCGCGCTCCCCGCGCTCTTCTGGCTGTACGACAGCCGCAGTGGACGCGCGGTCGGCCGCCGCCGCCGTCGAGATGCTGCGCGTGGAACGTCGAGTCGGCGCACAACTACGACACGACGCGCACGTGACGCAGCGTCTCACGTGCGCCGGCCGGGCGGCGTTCGCCATCGAGTTCGACGCCGCATGCGAGACCGAGCCGAAGTACGACTACGTCGAGTTCTCGGACGCGCACGGCGTCAAGAAGCGCTTCGACGGGGGAGTTGGCGGCGAGCGCTGGCCCGCGTCGTGCACGTTCGCCGGCGACCAGCTGCACTTCTCTTCCACTCGGACGCAGCAACACGGAGTGGGGCTACAAGTTCACGGTGACGGCGCGCGGATACCCTGACATGCCATCTGCTGGCTGTACGACTTGCAGCTGCAGTGCGCCCAAGCTGCTTGGTAGCTACACGGGACTTTGGATACAGGTTGGTGACATCGAATAGCTGGCAGCGATGTTTATATATATTATTATGTTCGAACTAGATGTTGCGTGTGTTACTCATTAACGCTACTGTCGAAATTACTCGTTCAAGACTCGCGGGGGATGTGTGCGTGCGTACGTTAGTGTGTGTGCACACATGCGCGTAAGTGCCCATGCTTTTATGTGAGTGTGCGCACATGCACACACAGTTTGTGTGTGTGTGCATGCATGTGTGCGTGCGTGCGTGCGTGTATGTGCATTCTTGTATGTGTGTGTCTGCATGGGTGTCTGTGTGTGCGTGCATGTCTGTGTGTCTGCATGCGTGTGTGTGTGTGTGTAAATGCATCATCTGTAACAATAAGTAAAGGACTCTAAAATAATTTGTATTCTGATTTTGTATCACATTCAGTAGAATAGCATTTTAGATGCAGTCTGGATGCTGATGTGATTAGTATAGATATAAGTAGCTCCACAAGAATTCATATATTCTTATTAAAGGTCAGACTGATACAACTGGATACTGCTTTCACACAATTGATAATATAACAGAAAAACAATCTCAACTTAACTGCTTTCTCTAACATTATGTGCTATTTTGTTAATTATAAAGTTATGTATGTATTGATATAATTATCCCCATGTGTTAGTATTATGTGCTATTTTACAGTTCTATTGGGCCATAATAAAAATATTGTTTGTTTGCCCTCACCCGACCCGACCTGCCAAAAAGAGGCCGACGTAAAAAAAATTATTGGTCTTTTCCATTTTTTTTTTTACAAATTGTATGACTGTACATAATATAAATCTGTAGGCAATACATTATATGTACCAAGCAAAACAAACATTCAACATAAAAGGTATCTCCACACAAGCACACCCGAGCATGTAGACACCATGCTGAATTTGTGAAAAGACCCCCCTCAAAAAAAGAAGCCTACCTACCTACCCAAACTTTCCAGCCTGGGTCGGGTGAGGGCAAACAAATATTTTTTTTAATTGTGGCTTTGTGGTATGAAATGTGCAATGTATGTACTACATGTTATTTGTATGTAGTAGCATTATGTTACTTTCCTATTGCTTTCTTCATGCCTAAGACATTTGCGTTTGTCTGTGACTGCAGATGATGGTAGCTGACTCGACTCCGGATGACGTTGCTGGTCACGAGCTATGGCCGACGCTGTTCCGCGGAGGCAGGGTCGTGCGTAAGCTGACGCGCTCGTTCTCCGGCATGCACGAGTCATGTACGGACGAGTCGGCCGCCTACTCCTTACTGCGGGACTTGCTGGAGGAGAAGAAGGAGAGTCGCGGACAAGCACTGCTGGAGCAGTGCAGGAAGAGCCGGCGCACACGTGCAGGGGGCGCTCACGTCGATGCCGCCATCGCAGCGGTGTTTGCCGCGCTCATCTGGCACACACAGCAGCTGCGCGAGGAAGTTGAGCAGGCAAGCTTTTACTTCGGTTTTGTAACTTTGTTGTAAAAAAAAAACATTAATATAATTTTAAAAAGTAAGTTACTAAATAATAAATGATAGGCAATAATAATAACCTAAATAATGATACATATTAAAGTATAGGATATCATGTATATATTTTAATAACTATCCTTTTGTTTTTTTAGTGCTTTTTCTCCAGTCATCAATGCTAGATGATGTATTTTACCGTTAATCACCAGTGATCCAATGTCATGTTGTTTTTGCAGTCATAAATATACTATAATTTGCCCCCCCCCCCCCGCCCCATATATTCTAATACAAGTACACTACCAAGTTTCTGGCACCCTTGGTTCCAAAAACCTTGCTGGATTAACCATGTTGCCGAACAAACAGAGGTCACAGAATAATAATTCAAGAATTTATCTCAGACCCACTAATTATACACCTCCCATGTCTCTAAAAACCATGGAATGTTAGAAACGTAAACTAAATCAATATAAAAAAGGTAAACATGCAGGTATTAATTGAACGGATTGATAGATACTGACTGAAGTTCACGCTTGACACCACCACTGAGACTTGTATCTCTTTTAGAAGATATAGTTGAGGGTAAATGCAAGCAAAATAAGCTAAGAATCTCACAAAATCAAGGAAAATTCTGAGGAACACGGAATTTTCGCCGGATTAAAAAAAACGATATTCATTATCAGCTGTCGGAAAGTCAATGGTGTACCTGCATTATAGTATCAGTAGTGAATAATAATGGATTATTCTTTCAGTTCTATTATTATTCACTCCTGATATTATACATATTTGTGTACAGTGTGCAGCAGTATTAGAGAATATCTATGCTCGTAGTGTTGTGATTAATCCTAATAAAGGTTTTATTATCGTCAAGGTGGCAGAGTCTGAGGCACCTGTCTCAGCCAATGATGGCGTCCTGCACGCGTATGCTGCTGCCGAGAGTGTGCGGAGCTACCTGCTGGAGCAGCGACAGCGACAGCGGCAGCAGGCGGACGATTCTGCCGGTGACCCGGCCGGCGTCGACCCCGTGCGTGCGTGTCACGAGAAGGCTGAGATGCTGCTGGGTTTCGCCGGGCTGCTGCGACGCGACGCCGCCTCGTGCGGCCGTCTACTGCGAAGCGGCGGCAAGCCGCAGCGCGTGCCGCCGCCGAGCGATCGAGCGACGTCGCCCGCCGACGAGACGCCCGCGCTTGACGCGAGGCAGGCCTCGTTCTGTCTCGTGCTGAGCTTCGTGCGCGACTGCGCGCTCGCGAGCGACAAGGTCGAGCGACTGCTGGCGGAGCGGCGGAGGCGCGCGGCCGCCGTCGCTGACGCCCTCGACGTGACCTTCAAGTTCCTGAGCCTCGGGGAAGACATCCTGCATCTGCCGAACGTGCTCTTCCTGCAGGAGCTGCTCACACATCTCGACAAGACTGTGAGTCGCATGCCGTGGCACTACGCGGACAAGATCAACGGCTGCGGGCTGCAACTCGAGGCGAGGGTGCGCGGCGGGTACTACGCGCTGGTCGGCCAGCTCGTCAATGCGGTGAAAGCCTTCGATCGGCGATCGGCCCGCACCAAGCTAGTTCCCATCTACGATTTCATGCTGGCATGCACGCTGCATCTTTTGGACATACCCTGGCAGCCGTACGACTTTGCGTTCCTGCAGAGTATTGAGTTCCCGAGGCTGCTGATGGACATTGCCAGCAGCGGCATCACGATCCACGGCATCGTGACGGACGAGGATGGCGATGAGAAGGAGCTGGCGGAGTATGAGCAGTACATGCAGTGGCTGCCGGAGTGCAGGGAGAACGTCAATAGGTGGTAAGTTCAACGTATTAGCCAGCAAGCTATGCAGCCGTGATTTGCACGGTCAGTTTTGAAACTGCACGGCCGGCGGTCTTGGCAGAGACACACATACAAAAAATTTGCACTCCCACAATATTCATTCTTGGCTAAAACCCTGGGTAAGTTCTCAGTTACTTGAGTAAGTTACAAACAGCGACGCCTTTCTAATTGCGAAAACTTTGTCGTCATGTCTGTAGACACAGCTGTTGCTATTTATACTAGCACACTTCATTTAACAATTAACATAGCAGATACTTTCCTGAACCTCTTCTCCAGGCAAAACATCTATTTTAACATCATATTTTAGTCATTATAACATGGTCCTTATGAAGATGCCTTGATTTCTTTAATGTGAGACAAGGGATTGTAAACTATAAAGCTCATTTTTCTTGAAGAATACTCTACCTAACAGGATTTTTCCCAGGAATTTCAGAAAGCATGTCATGTATGGTTCCAAGGGTAACAGGGCCCGGTAGGGATTGTACCGCCTGTCAATACGTCTATTATTTATTTAATAAACATTTTATTTTTGAGAACTATTTCACTATCTAGAGCAGTTCGGAAACATGTATTAATTGGTGTGAAAACACATCATAACTGTGTTTGGATTTTCAAAACACTGCTAAAAAATAAGGGCATGCCGATTAGGTAATAAAGGCATGGCGGAGGATTTATGGAATGTCAAAACTTAGCTTCAGCTTTGAAGTCATGTTGGACATGACGTGCATTACTTGAATGCCTGGGGAGAAAGCTGCTTATCATTATCTATTGAAGAATATTTATTCTTGTCTTTTAATCTAGGCTTCATTTAAACGAGTTATCATAGTATTGTGAAATCTGTCAATAGACTGCATGAGGCCATTTGTCACTACACCTTATTGTCGTGAAATGCGACAATTTTACCCGCACATTTCCCCATGAAATTCTCCACCATGAGTGGTTTTTCTCTCGTTCGTCCGAAGGTACAAAAAAATGCTCAAACAAGCGCAGAAGAAGCAGGACGTTCAGATGTTCATCGCGCGCTTCTCCGACCTGCTCAACGTCGAGATCGAGTGTGACGGCTGTGGCGCGACGCTGACGGGCCGCCGCTACCGCTGCCTGCAGTGCGCCGAACTCGACCTCTGCTGCACGTGTTTCATCGTCGCCGTGAAGCCGAGCGACGACGCGGGGTCGGACGGCGAGGCGACGGCGCACGCCGACGACCACGACTTTGTCAACCTGATGTTCAAGTGCAACTGCTGCGAGGCGTTCATCGTCGGCACGCGCATGCACTGCCGCGAGTGCGACGACTACGACCTGTGCGTCGGCTGCCACCGCACGGCGCGCGCGTACCCGGGAGCGCACGCGCGCGCGCACGCCGTCGACCGCCACCCGCTCGTGAAGCTGCGCAACAGCCCGCTGTCGGAGTCCGTCATGCAGACGTACGCGCACCAGCACGTCTGGCTGCTGCTGTCCTCGTTCGCGCTGTCCCTCACCGCGCTGCTGTCGCGCGAAGACCCCGGCCTCGACCCGGCGTACCTGCGTAGCGCGACCGCGCTGCAGGCCGACTGCTTCACGCTCGCGACGACCGCTCTCCAGCAGGTGGTGACGCTCGACGGCGACGCCGTCGCCGGCCGCCACCAGGTGGCGTTCTCGCCGCTCTCGCAGGAGAAGATCGTCGGGCTTCTCGGCGCGATGATCCTGTCGTGCGGCGAACACAGGCGACTGCTCGACGCTGTCAGAAGCAACGAGCTTCTCGTTCTGCTCTTCAGGATTGCTCAGCGGCAGACGCTGCATGACTGCAACACTGCGCACATGGCGTTGACGATACTCGGGCGTTTGTTACAGCTGATAGACGTGGACACCTGCAGCAAAGCCGTGCGCGCCGCACAGAGTCTCGCGGCGAACGATGCCAGTGCTCCGCAAGACGAACGAGTAGATGTCGTTCACGCACCGCAACTCAACGAAGTCGGAATGGACGACTTTGAGACGCAGCCCGGCGCGAGTGTCGTACAGTTTCTGTTTCAGTTTGGTACGCAGTGTCTCGACCGCGGCCTTCAAGACTGGACGAGTTCCGTGGTGATGATTCTGCAGAGCATGAGTTCGACGGAGGTGTGGAGAGATGGGGTCCTGCGTCACGTGAGCGAGTGCATCTATCAGATGAAATATGCAATCACATCTGAGGAAATACTGTGTCTTCTGGTGGCAGCCGGCTTTCCTGATCTCTTGTCTACGGGAGTTAAGGTGCGTGTCATACAAATGTGTTGTGTTGCGATTAATGTGTGATAAGGCGAAGCGTATTTGTCTTAATCTTCTCGTCTCTTTGTCTCACCCTTCCTCCATCTGAATCAGGAATAAATTTCAACATAACTGCCTTCATGCAATTCTCTTTTGCATAATCTTTGGATAATTAAGGATGCTGAAGCAGTTCACAAATTTAAAACGTCAATTTTTGCTCATCTATGTAGAACCAAATAAAGTATCGAAAAAATTTTGCTATTAAATGTGAACTAATTTATTCATTCTTTTACGCGACCATTCAGGTGCTCTATAACGAAGCTGGCTCTGAAGGCGAGGTGGGCTTCATTGTAAAGCATTTTGTCGACGCTGGTAAATGCCTTCTAGTCAACCAGCAGACGCGCAAGCGCTCGACGGTCAAGAATCAGTACATCAATCGCGTGCACGAGCCCGTGAGCATCATCAACCAGCAGCACCTGCGAGGCTTACTCGACGTCATAACGACGCTCATCGCCAAGGCCGACGGCAGAGAGAAGATGTCGTCGGCGGCGCTGTGGGCGCTCGCACTCTGCTTCAAGTCGCTGTACCACATGTGCAAGAACAGCGGCGAGGAGAGGACGCCATTGTTGGCATTGTGCAATGAGCAGCTGATCAGAGTGATGATGAGGCAGGCGAGTCTAGGCACGGGCTTCAACAAGCAGTGCATGGTGCAGGAGCTAGAGGTGAGGGCCGGCAGTCATAGTAATCAGAGATGTTACATTTCCGGATTTTACCGGAAATCCGGATTTAAAAAAAAAGAATCCGTAAAAAGTTCCGGAAAAAAAAATCTGAAATAAATCTGATTGAAAAATCCTGAAAATCAGACCCAAAATAACAGTATTTAGAAGGGATTTTCATCATTGCGAATTAGTGCATTAAATTTAGCATTAGGGCGCTTTCGATTTTCACGAAAAACACTAAAACCCATGAGCTTCATTGCCTAGGGCGGGCCACTGGACCCCCGGCCGTGACGCGCTCCGCTTGCTACGCTTTAATTGGTCACTACTTAATAGTTCAGGATTTTTTGGAACCGCCCTGTAGCATCTCTGAGTAATGCAGCAAACACTACTGCAATGCTCTGCAATGTGGGTATTCGGTATATTTGTAGAGCAGTCGTATAAAATGACAGCTTCTGTGCACGGTGTTAACACAAAGGGAGAATTTATCACTTCTCTCCAGATTCACAGTTACACACCATCCGATTTCGTTAAGGCGAAGCAACATTGCGTGTGAGTTATCACAGTTGCTTGCGGTGCATGTTGGCTATGTACGTTACGGAAGTAGCTTGCTGTGAGTCGAGGTTTGATGTCCGAAATCGACATCGATGCAGCATAGTGCTATCATGCTTGTATGTTCTATGTGCAGGTCCTCTCCCTGATGCTCTACACTGCCGACGAGAGCAAGCTCATCGACTCCGACGCCGTAATACCAGAGCCGAAGACGAAAGTGCGAAAGAAGTCGCACGAAGCCGCCGCCGCTGCGTCGGGCAGCTCCGTGCAGGCGGCGCCCTCTACGAATGTGCGCAGGGACGCGAGCGTGTGCTTTGGCGTGCTGCACGAGCACATCGTGCAAAGCACGCTGACGCACAGCGATCTGAAGAACAACACGACGCACGAGAACAGCGGCGGGCAGCACGCCGCCGACGCGCTGCTCCTTGAGATGTACAAGAACCTCTTCGACACAAAGCTGCGCAGCACCCGCGCCTCCGCCAACTCGCTCGCCTCGCTCGACGAACAGCCGTTGGCTAGCGGCTCCGACAGTGACTCCGACGGCGGCGGCGTCGACACGGGCGTGATCCGATTCGCGCTGCGCATGCCGTCGCCAGGTCCCGTCGAGACGGAGGCGACGCGCGAGACGCAGGAGGGAGACAGCTGTCTCATGCGGGTCGAGGACAGCGAGTTGGAGGACAAGCTCGTGCAGAAACACCGCGTGCGGTCGTCGCAGATGCTGCGGCAGGAGCTGGAGGCGTGCCGGACCGGCACAAGCCGACGCTACCTGTACAGACTCAACCTGACGCTGTCGGTGTTTCACGCACGACACCTGCTCGCAGAGGTGCTTGCCGCGTGGCCGCTCGACAGTGCATCACTTGTCATCACCGGCGAGCTGCTAGGATGCACCAACGACTCGCAGATCGCCTGCGTGCTTGACCTGCTGCATCGGTGGGACAACAGCAAGGTGTGCTACCGCCCTCTAGTAGGAAATTCGGGAAACGTGTATCATAACTTGCCCATATCATCAGCAAACTGGTGCCAAATACTGCTGAACGCGCCAGCGAATCAAGGGGGTAACATGCTGTTAACTTCCATGCCAACAGTGGTGCGTGCGTGCGTGCGTACGTGCGTGCGTGCGTCTGTGCACATACGTGTTGTGCGTGTTTGTATGTTTGTGTAAACATGCCCACACACGCACACAAAGTTGTTTTTACCATATTAAGTATCATATATAATAATAGACTTCTCTCTGTGTTTGCTAATAACGTTAATCTCAGTTAGATCCATAATCAGTACAAAATAACTTACTCTGACGAAATTTTTGTCCATCTCTCCGACAGACTTCCTCAGGACTCCTGAGGAAGTCTGTCGGAGAGATGGACGAAAATTTCGTCAGAGTAAGTTATTTTGTACTGATTATGGATCTAACTGAGATTAACGTTATTAGCATGTAAATTATAGAGATCCGATGAAGTTATCTAATCTTCTCTCTGTGTTGTTTTCATGCTAGGACTTCCAACAACTTGTCACACACGTGGTGAAGCACTGTGGTACCTCCTGTGCTAATGCAATCGCACAGGCAGCCTGTTACTTCATGGAAGAATCTAGTTTTGATTCTTGCACTAAGGAATCGGATCACTCTTATACTGAAGCCAGAGCCACATCAGGGAAGGTACGCATTTGTTGAATATTTATTTCCTCTATTCGCGCATTTCCTCACATCAGTCATTAGCATATAAATTGTTTCAGGGGGGTTTTCATCTCTCCCCCCCCCCACCCGTATAAAACGTATTCCCATGTATAACAGAGTATTACGTATTTAAGAAAATACTATTACTAGTTTTGACTGAAACATTATATATGTCTCTTTATTATGGTAATATATATATATATATATATATATATATATATGTGGCAATGTACATGTACATGTACATGTATATATATATATATATATATATATATATATATATGTGGCAATAGTATATTGTATATTACCATGTTCTCTCAGGTACACATCCCCAATGCATCGTTCCTACTCGTGAAATTCGATCGTCGTTGCCACACGCGGGCAAAGTGGGATGAGCTATCGCTAGCCCTTGACGGAAACTTTGAGCAAGAGCTTCATGTCTACAGCGGCACGTCGTCTGACGATCAGTGGCAGAACTTCCACTTGCCCGGTGACACGCTCTACTACAAGTTCTGTAAACGCCTTGACGTTAGAAACAGTGAACAGAGTGTTAAACCAGAATTCTGGGGCTGGAGATTCACTGTCACAGGTGAGTACAAGTCCAGGCCCGTAGCCAGGGGGGGTTCGGGGTGTTCGCACGAACCCCCCCCCCTCCCCCGAGCAAAAGAGAGAAAAAAATTCCCCATTTGAAAATTTGCAAGAATTTCACCTCGGGTATGCACCAGATCGCTCCATTTTTAGCTCATCTGACATAGTCAGATGCAGCTTGTAGAATCGCATGATCGTCCGTCCGTGCGTCCGTCCGTCCGAGCGTCCGTCCGTGCGTCCGTCAACAGTTGGGCACAAATCTTAACCGCTCGACGTACGGTCATGATATTCGGAACGTGGGGGGGTAATCTGAAAACGAGTTGGGATGTCGAAGCTGGGGGTCAAAGGTCAAAGGTCAAGAGGTGTAAAAGAAGGGGGAATTCACTCCTTAACTTAAGGTATAGGGAGGAAATGCAGAATTGCGGCACAAATCTAAACGGCTCGACCTAGGCTTGTGATAGTCGGTGTAAAGCATCATGGTAGGAAAAGCCATCACTGTGCCGAAATTGCAGGTCAAAGGTCAATGGGCACAGGGCAGATTTTAGACATTTTCTGAGGACATGGTCGGACGGAGCGATTGGAAAACTTTTTTGTTTCAGCGGTGACCTAGCATTTTTATGGCTTTATTGAAAGGACCATGAAATGTACCTTCTGCTGACATGCGAAGAGTAAGTGTCGGATAACCTTTTGACCCTCAAGAGGAGGGTTAAACATGGATTTGTTTACTGTCTGTTAGAAAGAATTTGACTGCCGGGTTTGCTAGAATCTATACATGCCTGGATGTATAAGGCTACAATGTCACAGTGAAATTACAAAAGCTAAATTTGGTTGACGAAGGTTTATGCTTCTTAAATCGTCTAATTTCAATGGCATTCTGTACTGTCAGTATGTTACATGTAACGTATGCCACTGGCAGTGGCCACTGCCAGTGCATGTGGTGGTGGTACTGTGTAGTTTTTGCCTGTGTTAATTGGTCACAGGTTGCAGCTCTCTATTGCAGCCTGTAGGCTTGCGTAGGTAAATGGATGAGTGCTTACCTATTCTGACTTGCAAATAGTTGTTGCTACTACGTATGATGGGAGCTTCCATCTTTAATCTGAAGACACTTAAACGTACGCGCCATCTCGTGGCAACTTTCATAACGATCCCAACGAACATTCCTTTGAGAAGGTTCCTGATACCATCCCTGTGCATTCCACTGTTTCGGCGTGTATGTGAACACATTTGGTACTAACAGGGTTTACTAGAATCCCACCACTCCACCACAGAGTCACCGCAGTAGACGTTAGATGAGCGCTGTCGCTCCGCGGCACTTGTAGTGTAATAATTGCAAAATCTCCACGCCCTCCCCCTGCTCGGTCGCTTCGCGCCCTCACAAATTGCCAACCTATAAAAACGAACCCCCCCTCAATATAAAACTGACTACGGGCCTGCAAGTCCATTTTAGTATGGGTGTTTTATACAGCATCGAGTATGTAATGATCATTGTGACTCAAACTTACTATAGGAAATTATGTTATTTTGTCATCATTAACTTGTTATCTTGTTATCATCATTGTTTGCCAATGATGACTCCAATATATATTTACTACACCAAATAACTTGCTTGAATGTATTGTAATATCAAAATAATTTGACTTACGTGGATACGAGTTAATACTTTGATGATACTACTCGATAAGAACAAATTTAGTGTGATCTGTCCTATCGCCCCCTCAGCATGCAATCCTATTTGCGACACAGGTGGTAGGATGGGGAGATTTGACACTGGATACATGATCATGAACAGTCTCCTATGCCACGAACCAACTCTGAATACGCTGCCCATGGAGCGCATTTGGTCGTACCTGGTACACGTTGCTTGCAAGCAAACCGGTCAACAGAGACTGAAAACAATAGAGCTCCTGCTGAGAGTTCTCAACAGCATGGGCTCACCCGGCGACTCGTCTCAAAAGGCAGTTCACGATGATCGAAAATGCACCTCAGACACAGCTGACGATGTTTTCACTAAAGAGCAATTTGCCTCCAACACGGCTGAAAAATTGCACGCCGGAACGCAGCATACCTCAGGTGAGGCTGACAATCACTCGGGGGCACTTCAGTCGGGTCGAGTCGACCTGACGCTGCTACGTCCACTGTGGCTGCTCTACGGCAGTTTACAGGAGAAGCAGCTGGACACGGGCAGCGCGGTGATACCGCAGCTGAACCGAGCGCTCACGGAGTTGTTTTACGTCGCTGAGGAGCGTGCGGGCGCGTGGAGCGTCGTCGATGCGTACCTCCTCGCGACTCACGACTACGCCGCGCTGCGCGACGTCGTCGCCGAGGTAGCCGTCGATATCGCGGCGATTGGTGCCGCGATCGAATGCACGAACGCAGCAACAAATCTCTGCCGGCACTGCCTTGCAGCATGATGCGTCGACAAAACCTTGCTTGCTTGGTTCGTGAACGGAGATCGTATCTTTTATATGGTGAGGGCAGCCATTAAGGAAATCTGTCGAAATGATCGTACCACTTAAACAATTCAGCATCACTCTTCTGTTTGTACGAATTTATAAAAGAGCCATCAAGAACATTTAGCAATTCGAATTTCAGTTATAAGCTGCCTCGTTATTCTAAGAGTTTCAGATGTAACCTCATATATAATACAAACGTAAATACTTTTAGTATTGCTCGGCGTTGGTTATTAAATGTGTAAATGCCATGCACACTGTTGAATGAAGTGCTAGATACATTTTAGCAAGATTCTACATATTATAGCCAGAGCTCATGATGATACTGATGCTGCTCAGGCTCTTGATAGAACTGTTTTTTTTTTAATTCCTGACTCATGTAGTGCAACGGATTTCCACGTGCTTCACGTTTTAATTACCATTTTCTGAATAGTAATTTTATATTGAGTACTTGTGTATGCGCCTTTGTGCGTGTGTGCACGCGTGGCCTGTATGGTAAATATGTTTCTGTCAAAGGATATGCCCGTTCTAGGGTCTGGTAAAATGACAGTTTAGCAGTGAATAGTTTATCTATTGTGGGTGGCACTGTCTGAGCTGTATGTACCTGTGATATTTTTTTAGTAATTGCTTTCCCAGCATTAATTAGATATGAATGAGTTTCAGCAATTGGTGTGGCAAGATAAATCATGTGCTGTATAGAAATGATTGATTAACAGCACCAAAGAATTCTTGTGCTAGTCGGCCACTTGGCATGTTTCTATTTTACCCAGATACTTTTCTAAAGCATCGATAAGTATTTTACGTTAATAGTGCTTGACAAGATTGCATTAAACTCATTTTTGCTGAGACGTGTTACCAGGCAAAGTTGAAGCTGTATCAGCAATATCCAGCAAGCAAAAATTGTGTAGCTTTATGCATGGTTTTGTAATCGTTACTCAGCCATCAACAGTTGTTGTGCCAATGTATGTACTAACCAACTCCACTCTGTTAGATTTGTCAGTTTCTAGAGAGATTTATTAGATTAATATTGGTGATAATTTTGGTGCTTAGCTGTTGCATCATCATTGCTGGCAGCATTTAATGCAGCTAAAATCGCATGGAAACAAAGAGGCAATAGTAATAGCAGGGGTTAATAATGCAGAGTTTGTCATTATTAACCCCTGGTACATGGCAATATGGATCACTGATGTAATGTTACAGAGGTAATAAATGCTGCCTCTGATCTTGCTCACCATGAGCCATATTGGTAGCTCAATTGAATTGTTTTGCTAGTTTGTCAGCTTGGCTTAGGTTAATCGGACATATATATATTTGCCAATTTAGTTATCATGAAAATCCAATAATAATGAATCCTAGTCCAGGTATATCCCTGTAATCAACGTTTGTTTAATGATTTTCTGCATCTATTCTCATCAAACCATGAGATCGCTACTAAATGTAATTTTTTGTTAAATAAATATAATACAGTCAAACCTGTGTTAACTGTGTCACCTATCTATAAAAGACACCAGGAATTCCCATTAAGTAGCCTGTATGAAGGTTGACTTTAGATAATATGATATTGAATCTGATACACAACTGATTAGTGCAGAATGCGTAAAAATTTATATTAAACATATCGGACTTGTTGTTGCCAGTTGTGTGTTTTCAGTATTAACTAAAATCGAAGAATTAGCTATATTGGATGCCGTGTTACAGTTGTTTGTGCATAAATTTGAGACTAACCGATGGGTTGTTGCCCCAGATATGTTCGTAAGGCTAAAGCCACCCTAGACTAAGAAAAGGCAATGATCAAAATGCAGACACAACACTAATAGTGGTGGATAATGGCAATAGCATATCAATCTGTGTCTGTGAGATATTGTATTTAAATTAGCACAAACATGTACGTAGGAATATTCTCAATGCAGTACAAATGCAAAGCAAACCTGCAGATATGGTGCTTCAGTTTGTACATGGAACTGAAGTTTTGTTGATTAAATATAACTTGTAACTGAAGACTGAGCAATCAGCACGATTCTTGCTGAGGTTTTTTCTGTGATCATTTATTAAAAAAATCAATAAAATTCAATAAATATAAAAATGACCATGAAACGCTGCTAGTATTATATACAAAATTTTACTTCATGCATAGATAAATCTGATAAATAATGCAACTCGTTAATGGCATCAAAATTTCTGCTGGGAACAGTAAGTTGCAATGACGGACAGGCTTTGAACATGAAAACAGGATCTTATTCCTTAAAAAACAGTTTTACATTACTGTCAGATATACGATAAGACCAGCACAGTTTGTCTGTAGCTAGTCTCACATATTCAGGCATGTTCTGGTACATAGACCTTGCAGGTTCGCTCTGGTACATAGACCTTGCAGGTTCGCTCTGGTACATATAGCTTGCAGGCATGCTCTGGTACATAGACCTTGCAGGCATGCTCTTGTACATTGACCTTGCAGGCTTGCTCTTGTACATAGACCTTGCAGGCTTGCTCTTGTACATAGACCTTGCAGGCTTGTTCTGGTATACCTTGGTGCATATTGTTACTTCTCGGCTTCTCTCTTCTCGCATTTTATAACCCCCTCCGTGTCTCTCTCTCTCTCTCTCACGTTCTCTATCCCCCCCCCCCACTCTATCTCTCTCTCTCTCTCTCTCATCTCTCGTCTGCTCTCTCTCGCTCGCTCTCGTCTCTGCTCTCTCTGCTCACGTTCTCTACCCCCCCCCCCCCTCTCTCTCCTCTCTCTCTGTCCTCTCTCTCTCTCTCTCTCTTTCTTCTTCTCTCTCTCTCTCTTCTCTCTCTCTCTTCTCTCTCCTCTCTCGTCTCTCCTCGCTCTTCTTCTCTCTCTCTCTCCTCTCTCTTCTCTCTCACGTGTTTCTCTATCCCTGCCCCGCCCCCCCCTCTATCTATCTATCTCTCTCTCTCTCTTCAGTTTTATC